CTCAATTTAGAACCATGGCCTGGCAAATAATTTGGTGTAAGAATATTAGATGACCTTTATTAGCTTTAAAATTTTATTTGGGGTGCATTATGCATGATTTATTGTGTTTCGAGGGTGCATAGTGCCATTAATTTGTTTCAAGGGTGCAAAGTGCCAAAATTGTATATTTTAAGGGTGCAAAGTGGAATTAAGCCATTTTTTTGTTGTAGAAGTACTTGATGAAGTAAATGAATAAGAAAAAGTCTTTGTTGTTCGGACTTCTGTATAAGTAACTCCACTAATTGGTCAAAGAAAACATTATGAAATTGCTGGGTAAATGATTAATGCATCAGTGCCTTGTTGTTCTCGTGAGAGAATGTCATATGAAGAAGTTATATTTTCCGATTCCGCAGCTTCCTCATTTGCTGAAAAATATAATTAGAGATAAATTAGTACTTGTGGAAGATTAATGGTACGATACAGGGGAAATAAATATTTTTTTTAATGCTCTTTTTAGTTTAACCATGGCTTTGTAAAATAATTAGGTGTAAAAGAAGTGTATGGAATGGTATTGATTCAAAACTTTATTTTGTTGCAAAGAATCATGGTAGGTAATTTTGAGGGAAAGAAATGAATTATACTTATTAAAAAAAGAAACATCATTTTTATTTCATTTATTAATGTAAATGTAAAAAGAACATGTTTTTGTTGTAGAAGTACTTGATGAAGTAAATGATTAAGCGAACCTCTTTGTTGTTATGCATGTATAACTCCACCAGTTGGTAGGGATGAACTAATTATAGTATTCGATGTCTGGGCTCCTATTTTTGGTATATTTTGGTGCCACCCTGTATCACCTTTTGGAAAGAGAAGGGGATATTGCATCGGATCATCACAACCGTAATAATGTTTGATTCTATGCTTATGGTCTGACCGTGCATGAACAACAATATCTCGTTCAGCTGGTATATGAGGATCATTTCCTTCAACCCAAATAACTGCTACTTGATCCGCAGTTGGAGAATTGTAAACACGCTGGTCTAATCGGACGTTTTTCGAGATATGAAGTTGAACATTATCCATAGAAGGATAATCCTCTAATGTTATGAATAATCTTGGCATATGGATTTACCTCCATAATTTCATAACTTTGTTGATTATAGGTTCAGATAGTTCCGAATTATCTAGAATCTTTAACCGATTCTCAATCTCTTTTTCAGTTTCAACAAAATATAACTGAAAATTGGTAGGGCCAACTTCATTTGGAGTAAATTCTGGAAGATCATGATATACCATGCCTTGTGCTCGAAAAGTGTAAACCCCACGCTTTGCAGATGCAAGATCCTTATCTAATTTCACTCCTAATGAGGTGAAAGAGAATATGCAATTCAACGCACGGTTATTCTTGCTAAATGTTACAGCTTCTTCTGATTCAGAGACAAACATGTCATACATTTCATCTGGCATTTCAATAGTCGCAACTCTAACTTTTCCATTGCCACAACAAAATGTCTTAGGTTCGTATTCAAATCTTACGGCATGACAATGTATGCAATTAGGAACGTGTTTTAATTCATACAACTCTGAGCATACATGATCATAAATTGTCAGACCTAGTAAAACAAGAAAACAAAAAAGATGATATTAAAATTACAAGTGACATTTAGATTAATTAATACTATACCGAAATTACCTTCTGATCGTCGCTCAGGAATCATTTGTGCTCTTAAAAGCCACTTAGTAATTGGCAATTTTTGGCATTTTTCATTGGTAGAAGCTAATGCTACTGCATTTGATGCAACTTCTGTAAAAGGGCTAGTGACTTCCTCATGCATAGGATTATGGTTGTAACCAATCGAATTTCTTTATTTCCTCAACGTCTTAGTTTTTTTCACTTTGTCTATGTACTTTTGTTTGTCTATGGCAGTTAGCTAGGCATATTTCCTCTTCATCCTAGCTAGTTTCCGGTGTCGTAATACATCTACAACAATAAAAGTAATGTGGATTGTTGTCAATATACATAGTAAAAAAATTAGTAAACCTTGTCGAAGATCCTATTTCAAATGAATTTAAGAGTAATACTACAATATTTAAAAATTAAATAAACATGACTCCACATCGTTACGTTGTTTATGCATTACCATGTTTAAAGTCACTTGGTACAAAATATATCTGTAAATGATCAAGTTATCATATTAACACAACAACTACATAGAATTGACCAAAGAATAATTTCAATTTTTTTGGTTAAAATATATATATTTTATATGTTGGTTTGAAAATACAGAACAAAGAAAAAACAAAAATTCCACTATTTATATTTATAAAACTTTAATGTGCTAAAGCTTAGGATGATTGAGCATATATATATACCGAAGCAATTCTTGTTTCCTTGTTTTTGTGATTAATCCAAATTTTATTCGGATCTTTAGTCTGTTAATAATTGAACTCTTTATAAGTTTATACACTACATTCAAGAGCAACATCTCACTAATGTATATATTAGTTGTACCACATTCAAATAAAGAATAAGAAGAAAAATAAAATGTAAAATCATGTACATAATCCATTATAAAAGAAGAGATTCTAGCTAATAAATTGGTTCTATCTTCATATATTTTAATATTTTAAACATTTATTAAGTTTTTATCACCACAAATACTTAAGCGCATTTAAAAAAAAAAATCCTACGAAGACATAGATTTTCATATGAACCAGGGGAAAATGAAGATATGTTTCAGAGTAATAAAATTTTGTCATGGTCTTTCGATGGCCTATAATCAAAGGAAAAGAAAGTTTTCGAACACACTTACACCGTATGATGGACGTGTAATCATTCGTCAAATTGGGAAACTCTATCAATCGTGGTGACTCGGGTAAGAACAATTTATATTCGTCGTTGTCAATAAGAATCTGGCCCATGTGGGAAATCTAAAACAAATGTTATGTTGGAATTAACGTTTAAAGATGTAGCATAAAAAAAAATGTAAATGAAGACATATTTGTGGGAAGTTGATTCTATCAATTTGCTTCCTACGTATGTACGTACCTGATAAAAAAATCAAACTTAGTGCCTAATATATATATATATATATATATATATATATATATATATATATATATATATATATATATATATATATATATATATATATATATATATATATATATATATATATATATATATATATATATATATATATATATATATATATATATGCATGGAGTACAATTTGTAGACATATGCAGCTGTTACTAATTAAATGTAATTTATTTTGTAATTATGACCTCAATTTTTCTTCATGTCCGTTTTTATTACAATAGAGAAGCAATGACTTTTTGTATGCAATTGTTTCTTCAATTTAAGACTTGTTGGCAGTTTTTGGGTGATGTTGGATGGATCCATGTAATGGTAATTATTTTGTAATTAATGACTTAATAATTGTGTGACAATACCAAAAGATGCAGAATTAGATGATGAGTTTTAAGTTACAAACATGTGAAATGTTTGTGAGACGTATTTTGAAGATTTTTTATCTTTTTTTTTTTTTTTTTTTTTTTTTTTTTTTTTTATAGTTACCCCATTTTATGACTAATTATAACTTAATTTATAGTTAAATTTATAGTTAAATTTAATTTTTACCCGCATGGGTGTAGCTCAACTGGTTCCGGAGGTGGTAAGTTGGTGCAAGGTCCTAGGATCGAATCCTGGCAGCCGCAGTGTGGGAATTTCAACTCCAATGAGGGTTGGTTCCTTGTGGGCACCAGGTCCGGGTCCGTTACCTTAACGGGCCGTTGAGTTACCATGATTTACATTCCTCCATCAATCCTTGTCGGGCCAAGGGATGGGGGCCCTGGGGGCGAGGGATTTCGCCTTTTGGTGCAATTTATAAATACATGGAATGAGGTGTTAAAGATTCAAATGTGCCTTCCAATCTAAATTCTAACCTATAATAAGGAAATGACAAACTTTCATATTTTTTTGGGATGATAATCAATTACATATGAACACCACATCTTAGAATTTAGTGTATCTATTAAAAGTGTTACAACCTTTGTAGAGTAATTATTATTTAAGTTGGGGAATTTGATAAGAATTACTATCTTATATTTTCCTCGAGCCAAAACAAAGTTATTTCGGCAATCTTCGAATAGTTTGGACACCTCTCTGTAAAACAGACATTACTCTCTCGTCCCACCTCCAAATGAGGTTCCTTCGACCCTACTGTTGGGTTTCGGGCACGCATACGCAGCGGAAAACAAAAATTTTACGTGATTTAAACCACTTTAAAGCACACAAGTACATGCCCGACAAATTAAATCAATTAATTGCGTACCTTTGCGCTTCCAGCGAAAATTAAAAACAACATACATGCTAATAAATTTAACCGAATTTAAATCAATTAACATGCTCGCAATTTAAACCAAATAACATGCTCGCAACGATTTAATCGATTACACATAATCACATAAAATCATACAAACACAAGCATGAAATCATAGTTTAAATTAAACCCTAAAACGAAACTAGGGTTTCGAGTATTTACCTCTTGACGCGTGAGGTAGGAGCGAACGATTCGTCGTGATTACTACGGAAACCAATCCGTAGAATCGGGGCAGCAATGGAGCAGCAGCAGCGGCGGTGTGGCAGCTCACGGCGGCGCGTGTACAGCACGCGCGGTTGTGCGAGGCGGCGCGTGGGGCAGCGTGCGGCTTCGGCTCGTGCGTTGCTCCTCGATTCTTCGATCTACGGTCTTCCTCCTCTCGGATTTCACCTCGTATACTTCGATCTACTAAATCGTGGCACTAGACACGAAGTAGTTAGAATAAAACGGAAAGAAAATAAAGGAGAAAGAATACCGAACAAGAGCCGGCCGAGGAACGGCCGTTTCCGGCGACGGAGCGGCGGTGGTGGCGCGGTGGTGGCCGCGCGGAAGAGAGGCCGAGAGAGAGAGGGTGGCCGATTAGGGTTAGGGTTTTTTGTTGTCTTTGTGCTAGGGTTATAAATCATGTATTTATAGTCCCTAGCATGAAACCCTAGCGGGCTTAAGTTGGACTGGGCCCAACAGCTTAAGCTCGTTAGTTTCTTTAATCGCTCGTATCTCTCAATTCAATGATCGAAAAATTGTAACGATTACAATTTCCGAGTCATTATAATTTTCTCGTCATTACGAGTGCCATCTCTTATTTTCCAACTTTCCAAAAGTGGAAACCCTAGTTCAGTGGACTTTCTAAATTTGGAAACTTCCCGATTTAGAAAGTTCACTAACATGTTCGCTTATTCTTTTCCTTTTCTTATTCTCATTCATAATTCCAAATTACGAATGTTGGACTCAATCATATTGACTTCCAATTATGCAAAGATAAACTATTTTATCTCTGACCGTTTATTCAAAGATCTCATGTGCACGAGCAGTGTGACCCTCGATGGTTCAGGTGTAAGCTAGCCGTGGGCCCACAACTCTTTGTGGTCAAAACTCGTCCCCTTCGAGTTACAATTAAGATGAAGCTCGTTTCACCTTAATCACCCAACGAATCAAGATTGGCGTCTAGCAACTACGCGTCATGATTCCCTAGATACAAATGAAGTGCCTGCAAGAACCTTCAGATATAGTTAACGTACAGTACGGTCCCTTCGATTCATATGTCCCGATTGAACTAGAGGCATTGGTTCATCGAGACCTCTTTATATGTTCAATAACGGTGCGATCGTTCTAAGTGTTGTAATCCTTACGTGCATGACTTAAAGAATCGAATTCTCTAATCATCACTTAGTCAGCTCTGGCCAGAGACTTAGAATGAATACAAACTTTCAGAACACACAGGACATCCAAGACTATTCTAGCGATCGAATCCCCGACTACAATGCACAGACCTCCCACTAGATTTCGGACTGCACGAACACTGGCCCTTGGGATGGTCCTCGGTGGAACTCAGGGACAGGTCATGATACAGCTGGTCCTCTAGTGAAGTCACGGTGATGTCTAGGTCATAAGGACTAATGGTGTACAACTATACCATAGATATCTCTACTCGATTATTGGGAACCACTTAGAGATTTCTAGGGTGAGGGAGTTCAGTGAACTCGTCAACTTACGAGCACCCACTTATGCATGCCGATATCACAATACCGTTTACTGATGAGATGCAGTACACATACACTAAGTGCTAGTCTTAATGGGAAAGGCCGATATCCTCATTAGTGGCGTAACCCTTCGACTAGGAACACGTTTAACAGTTATAATACTTAAGTAAATATCTCACGATCCTAACGATCAATTACTAGTACTTGTAATAACTGTAAGGACTATATCTATGCTTGTGACAAAGGGACAAAGATATAGAATGCCAATGTGTTTTATCATTAATACGAATAAAGGTTCGTTTATTACAATAATAAATACGAAAAACCACAGCCACAAGTTGGCTTGTTGGTCACCTACTCTAACAATCTCCCACTTGACCTAAAGCCAACTACCCATAAACCGCAATCCCATCGACTCTCGATGTTTCTCATGGACCGATCTTGGTAAAGGCTTCGTGAAGGGGTCTGCAACGTTCTCTTCCGAGGTGACTCGTTCTACCTTAACTTCACCTCTATCAATGATCTCTCGGATCACGTGATACTTCCTCAGAATATGCTTCGACTTCTGATGAGATCGCGGCTCCTTAGCTTGTGCCACGGCTCCGGTGTTATCACAGTACAACGGTACTGGATTACTAGCATCAGGAATGACACCCAACTCTTGGATGAATTTCCTTATCCAAGTCCCTTCTTTTGCAGCTTCGGACGCTGCAATGTATTCCGCTTCGGTAGTGGAATCGGCCGTCGTGC